AAGTGCCTCAAATTGATAACAAAAGGCTAACAAGGGCTATGGAAGTTATGGACCAGGAACCATGGATGAAAACCAATGTCTATATCGTAGCACCAGGGGGTTGATGACACTCCCTTCACTAAGACACTGAGAGAGATATCAGTAACGGGAGATATCCTTCAAGATTGTAGGCAGGCATGATATGATGGGAGATGCTGCCATTGAGATGGGCATGATAGGAGCCCAGAAGAACAGAGGCCTGGTGGCAGAGTTTAAATGCCAGAGCCAAGATGGGCACATTACTAAGAAGTGCAGCAGAAATATAGCAGTGCAATAATCAGAATGTTTTGATTCACAGAAATTTTTGGTGTTAACTAATTGATCACAGTGTCCCTAGGAATGAAATATTAATAGGTAGGCTACCAAAGTGCTGCTTGATCTGTATAATAGAAAAACTCTAGATCTGACAGCCAAAATTCTGATGTGAGTCACCGCCATGGAGAAGCACTCTCTCACCCAGTTTTCAGATATAAATATGTTCCTAGACCCAGAATTCCTTGATTTAAGGGCAGACTTGAGGGAGGAACCTGAAGCATGTTACATGTAGATATTATGAATCTTCCTGCAAGCCTTCACCAAAGGAGCTGCAGCCATTTACTAGAGTGGCTATGCAGGAAAAAGGAAATACCCAGAATCTGAGGGATTACCAGACACTAACTCAGTTGAAGCCCATGCTTAGAACTGAATACTACTGTGGCCCACAGTAAAAGTGGGGCTGATGTCAGCTAATGGATGGCATTTTAGCCCAAGTTCAACTCACAGTATGCCCAGCAGATCTGCAGACCCCACCTTGTGGTTATTTCCCAGTTCTTAAATATATGATCGGAACAGATATATTTTGCCAACTGAGAGATTCCCACATTGTCTGTCTGATTTGTGAAATAAGCACCGTTGTGACCAAGTAGAAGCCTCTGGAACTTCTTGTCTCTCTGATCTGTGAAATAAGCACCATTAAGACCAAATAGGAACCCCTGGAACGTCTCCTTCTTACCAGAATAATAAACCAAAACTAGCAGTGCAGGCCGGTGGCGGGGAGGGGGGGGGCAAGATTGCAGAGACGAGTGACACCAGAGACCTGAAAGAAGCAGAGATGATGACATCCCCATGCACTCACCAGTTTGACCTGTACAGATGACTGATTGATCCTGGAAATGATAGGTCATCTTAGACCTAATCAACTGATGTCATAATGTATACTTTATTTCATTGTGCGATGACCTTTCACCAAGAAAAACACAGATGCTGCCTGTTTTGAGTGAGGAGCAGAATAAGAATGTTTTGCATTAAGTTCAGACTGCAGGGCAAACTGCTCTTCCTCTTGGGCTTAGTAACCCGGCAGATCCAATGATGCTGGATATGTCTGGCATATACCATCGCGTGTGAACCCTCTGGCCAGGATCAGTAAGAAGACTGACTGCAGCCTCTAGGGGTTTGGGACACATCCACATCCTCTTTTGAGAAACAACTACTGGCCTTGCTTCTGAACACCTAACCACACCTACCCAAGTAACACACAGGCTGAGCTTCTCACCACGAACTGATTATTTTCAGTCCCCACAAGCCATAATTGGGTGTGTGTCTGGCAGTCTATCACCAGTCTATCGTCTGGGCCCAATGAAGTCCAGAAGGCACAAGAGGGTTCCTTGTATAGGTGGCTCAGGCTCCCTTAATACAGACTCCTGCTGAATTGCCTCTTCTATCCCCTTCTCCAAAAGCAAGAAGCTTGACTCCAATTATCCTCCATATATTTGCTCGTTTGTTCAGTCTCCCAGATGCAAATAATAAAATGACTAAGGACAATTGCTCAGCTCCGGGCCACACACGGTGGCCACGCAGGCCAAATTCTGATTTAATTTATAGCTCAAAAAGCTCTACTCATGTTGATTATTAAAAAGACTGCAGTACTCATACATAGTTCAAGAAAGAGGCAGTAACTTGGCAGATGTCTAAAGAGAACATCCAAGAAGCTCAAATGGAGTGAAATGATATGCTCCACACTCAGATGTACTGTGCCAGATGACTTAACATTTACCACAAATGTGGATACATATGCACAAAACAGGCTTCTATGAACATTCTCCTTACAGTGCACATGCATTCAGATTTGTCCTGAGCAGCATTCTTGTTAGATGCTGTTAAGCATCATGTCTGTTTTGGTCCAAAATGTTGCTCCTTTGTTACTATGTATTTCAGCAGGAAGTCTTGGCAGCTGATGGTTACCAGATTCTTTGTTAGGGAGTCACAGTCACAATTAAAGCTACTGTCCAATCTTTGTGACAACCTGGGGGATTAAAACAAGGGAAAAGAGCATAACCCCACTGCAGGAGATGTCTCTTCCTTAAACTTTATTAAAAGATACAAATTATGTTCTGGTAAATTATACTTATTGATTTAAACACTTTAGTTGGGAAAATGACCCTAAGCAATGGCAACTTCTCGTGTTCTTGTAACTTGTACGTTTTGGCCCTAGCCCTGGCTCCTGATTCCATAGGACACATTTCTTTTGTGAACTTAGACTTACTCATAAATGCATCATCTTTTGTGTGTGTGGGAGTCTCACTCTGTCACCCAGGCTGGAGTGCAATGGTATAATCATGGCTACCGTAGCCTCAACCTGCTGGGCTCAGGCGATCCTTCTGCCTCAGCCTTCCAAGTAACTGGAACTACAGGCATGCGCCACTATGCCCAGTTAAAAAATTTTTTTTTTCATTTATTGTAGTGATGAGGTCTCACCAAAGTTGCTCAGGGTGGTCTCAAACTCTTGAGTTCAGGCAATCCTCTCACCTTCAGCTCCCAAAGTGCTGGGATCACAGGCGCGATCCACTGCACTTGGCCTGTATTATCTCTTAAAGCCAACCATTTAGGAAAGATTTATACCATTTTTACAGAATTTGTAAGCTTTTTGTAAACATTAGCAAAATTTCTCCAAAGAATATATCACAAGTCTGCCATGTGCTAATTGATTTGTTAAAGGAAAGGTATTGAGCATACCTAGTTATCAAAAGCTAGTAGGTCCATCTTGACCTGCAATTTCCTCTTTTGGAAGGTTTTTAACTACAAACCCTGTTCCTTTAATAGAAATAAAACTATGTAAGTTGGTTGTCTATTTCTTCTCGCATGAATTTTGGTAGTTTGTGACCTTCAAAGAATTGGGTCATTTAGTCTAAGTTGTTGAATTTATGTGTGTGGAATCTGTTGTATTATTCCCTTAGTATTCTTATAATGTCTGTGGGCTCTGTGGTGATGTCCCTTCTTTTATTTCTTTTTTTTTTGAGTTGGAGTCTCACTCTGTCGCCCAGACTGGAGTGCAATGGCACTCTCCCAGCCACTACAGCCTCGACCTGCTGGGCTCCAGCGATCCTTCCACCTCAGCCTTCCAAGTAGCTGGAACTACAGGCGCACACTACCACGCCTGGCTAATTTTTGATTTATTGTAGAGATGAGGTCTCACCAAATTGCCCAGGCGGGTCTTGAACCTGCGGGCTCAGGCAATCCATTCACCTCAGCCTCCCAAAGGCGCAGGATTACAGGCTGAGCCACCAAGCCCGGCTATTTCTTATATTTGTATTTTGTGTTTTCTTATTTCTTTAGTCTGGCTAGAGGTTTATTAATGACAATATCAAGATGTTAAAGAATCAACTTGGTTTTATTGATTTTCTCTATTTTTTTAAGTTTAACTTATTATTTTATTTTTGTTTCTTTATTATTCCTTTCATTCTGCTTGCTTTGAGTTTCTTTTGCCTTTTTTTTTGAGTCAGAGTCTCACTTTGTCACTCAGGCTAGAGTGCAGTGGCACGCTGCTCACAGTCACTGCAGCCTTGACCTGCTAGGCTCAGGCGATCCTTCTGCCTTAGCCCTCCAAGCAGCTGGAACTACAGGCATGCACCACCATGCCCAGCTAATTTTTTTGATTTATTGTAGACATGAGGTCTTGCCAAGTTGCCCAGGCTGGTCTCGAATCTGTGGGTTTAGGCAATCCTCTCACCTTGGCCTCCCAAAGTGCTGGGACTATAGGTGTGAGCCACCGTGCCCGGCCTGGGTTCCAAGTTTTAAAAATTGCTGCCTGTTTTATGGCATAGGATATGTATCAGATCCAGGATTTGATTTTGTCCTATTTACAAGCTGTTATGTTAGCCTGTGGCTATTTGATGGATGTTGGCATGAGTGTACACATAATTAGGCACAAATGTGAAGCCGCTTATATTAATAGCCACAAGTAGCACTATTTTGACATTGTCAAAGTGAGCATTTAGAGGAACCACTATAGAGACACAGAGAAGGCTCCAAGAGCCCTCAGTCTCTGGGCAATGACTATGTGTATAGACTCCGGAGTTAGGTCACTGCTTTGCCCTTTCATTTCCCGTGTGACTTTGGACACGTTAACCAGTTTGTCAAGTTAATAACTTTTGACTTTTAATTCTTGGTCTGTCAAATGAAGACTAGACTACTTCACAGGACTATTTCAGGTAGGCTGAGAAAACTTAGCAATGAAATTTAAGGGAAATTCTTTAGACCTTTTATTTTATTTAAATATACACCTTTATAAAGATGTAATACCTCATGCCTGTAATACCAGTACTTTGGGCGAGCAAGTTTGGAGGATCACTTGAGGCTAGGAGTTCAAGACCAGTCTGGGCAACATTGCAAGACGCTGCCTCTACAAAAACAAAAAGCAAAACCAACAAAAAATTAGCCAGGTGCAGTGGCGCGCAGTATAGTCCCAGTTACTTGGGAGGCCGAGGCAGGAGGATTGCTTGAGCCTAGGAGTTTGAGGCTGCAGTCATGATCATGCCAGTGCACTCTAGCCTGGGCAACAGAACAAAACTCTGTCTCTAAAGAAAAAGGAAACAAAATGATGAAGGATGGGGAGGGTTGATCGTGGCACTAGGAATGTTGAAGGACCTAGGACCACATGAATACTCATAAACTGATAAAAGTCAAGTTAAAACAAATACCTAGTAATGTTAGATCTGAAGGAGATCAAGCCTTTCGAAACAGAAAGGCTTGTTACTGGTAGTTTGTTTGTTTGAGTCGAGGTCCTATTCTGATGCCCAGGCTGGAGTGCAGTGGCACGATCATGGCTTGCGGCAACCTCAACCTCCTGGGCACTTTGGTGATCCTTCCACCTCAGCTTCCTGAGTAGCTCGAACTACAAGCACATGCCACCATGCCCAGCTAATTTTTTTATTTTTTGTAGAGACGAGGTCTCACTTTCCTGCCTAGGCTTGGGTAGTTTATTTTTTATTGAGTGAATAATGAGTGTCTCTGATCTTTAACGCCAGTTGATGGCTTCCCTTCCTCTCTCCCTGACAGCTTCTTGCTTGGGTCACTGACACAGTCCTTTAGAGTGAATTGGTTTCTAGGATTTTTCTGCCTCTACCTCACTGATGTTGTGGCCTGAAAGAATGGGTTTGTAGGACCTGTGATTTTGAAGCCTATACTTCTAAGTGGAGGACAGACTTGGGTGGAAAGCTCAAGCCTCAACTCTCAGTATCCATAGATGGGGGAGAGGCCTTTGGGATCCTGAGAAAAAAAGAGAAGTGGGAGAACAGAGATGCAGAGAAAGAAGGGAGAAAGTGCCTGCCAGGTAACTGTATTAGTAATCTATCACTGTGTAACAAATCACCATGAACTCAACAACTTAAAACAACACACATTTAACACATCACACAGATTCTGAGGGTAGGGAATTTAGGAATGGCTTAACTGAGTGGCTCTAGCTCAGGGTCTCTCCCAAGCTGCAGTCAAGGTGATGGCTGACACTACATTATCTAAAGGCCAAGGCCTCCGATCCTCACCATGGGGGCCTCTCCATAGGCAGTTTGAGTGTGAGCTTACAGCATGGCAGACAGCTTCCCCAAAAGTAAGTGACCCAAGAGAGAATGAGCAGAGCAGAGAAGCCACACTGTCTCTCATAGCCTCGGCTGGGAATTGAGGTCGTATTCCACTGATGACATAGACCAACCATGACACACTGTTGAAGGGGACACTGGGATCATCTTGAAAGCTGGCTATCATAGTGACTTTGCCTTTCACAAACAACTTGGTCTCCTTCTTTCTTCAAATACACTAGTCAGGCTCCTGAAAACCAGGATCAGGGAACCAATTTGAGGTTGGCTTAATGGAGATTTGGTTTACGAATCTTGGGAATATGTCGAAGCAGTGGGTCAAGAACTAACCTGTGTGAAGGATTTTAACTAGAGAAATTAACACTGTGCATTTCCCCACAACACTGAAGATTGCGGTGGGACCATGGATCTGTTTGGAGATATAGATGACATTTCTTCAGAGAGTGACAAGGACAATCAGCCACCTATTCCAGGACAGCGTGTTGTAAGTAAAATCAGTAACCTCAACTGATCCTATTATTCAAGCTAAAAAAAATGTTTCAGAGGCTAATAGGTCTGAGTCGCTCATATTCACAGCTAACCGAACATCTAACGATGGGTGACTGTCTTACCTGTATTGGGAATTTCTGGGTTTTCTTTAGATGGCTGCAGAGTTGCTGCCCTTTTAACGATGTAAGAAGGTGCAGAATGAGCTGTTCAGAATGTGGTTGATGCCAAACTTTAGGGGTTACATGGTAAGGACTCATACTGTGAAAACCTATGATTTAAAGGTTTTCCTTATTCATACCTGTGCCAAGAAGTGTGGGCTATGTTGATATTCTTCTCTGATTTTAAGAGATGTTTAGTGTTGGTAGGTTGAAGAATTTCACCCATCTGGTTCTGAATATACTATACAAAAGTATATATGTCAACAAAACAGATACTTTTTCTAGTAATTCAGGCTGACAGATCTCGTTTCCCATGGGTTTGTTTGTGTTGTTTTTTAGTGGGCGTGGGGCGAGGCTTTAAGTACAGGCTTGGAAAGGTTGCTGATGGTTTTATCCTTAAAGTGGTGTTTACGTTTACTTCCTATCACACCTGCTTCTATCCTACTGCAGGAAGAGTAAAAGCCAGAACATTGCTAATGTCACTTCAAGCTCTCACATTCTGATTCCTTTCTCAGGATGAATATGGAGTGCCTCAGGACCAGAAGGAGGAAAAGCCAATTTCTGAAACCAAAATAGAAGTAGAAATTCCCAGTGTCAACTCTGACTTAGGAAATGAATTGTATTTTGTTAAATTACCCAGGTTTCTCAGCATAGAACCCAAGTAAGAAGACTGATTAAATTTTTCAAGATATTGAATAAATAAAAATATGTAGAAATGTAACTATATTTTCTTATTTATCATGAGTTTTTTAAAAAGTCTCTGAGGCATCAATATCTTGAATTGACATCACAAAAATGAGATATTTCTCACATAACTGAAAAAACACAAATTTAGGAAGTGCTGTGTTAGAAAAATGAGGGCTGGTCATGGTGGCTCATGCCTGTAATCTCAGCAATTTGGGAGGTCAAGGTGGGAGGACGATTTGCAGCCAGGAGTTCAAGACTAGCCTAGGCAAACATAGCAAGACCCCCTAGCCCTGCAAAGAAATTTTTGTTAAATTAGCCAGGTGTGGTGAAGGTGTGTATGGCACATGCCTGTAGTCCAGCAATGTGGGAGGCTAAGGCAGGAGAATTGCTTAAGTCTGGGAGTTGGAAGCTTCAGTGAGTTATGATCATGCCACTGTACTGCAGTCTGAGTGACAGAGACCTGTCTCTTGAAAAAAAAAAAAAAAGATAAATTACTGATAAGAAAGAGCTTTAATGCTAATAATTTTTCTAGCATTTTGGTACTTTCTTATAAATAAAGAAGTCACAATTGATGGAGGTGTTTTTCAGTAGTGTAAAACTAAAAAATTAGAAAATAATAGTGAGAAAGTTTGCTAGGGAATCACAAATGTTCTATGAGAAAATCATTGTGAATCTAGAAAACAACAAAACAGTGTCTATGGGTATTAGGCACTAAGGCAAGTTCTTGTGCAATTAAACCCAACATGTTTTCTTTAAAAAGATGGAAAAAGCCGGGCTCGGTGGTTCAGCCTGTAATCCCGCGCCTTTGGGAGGCTGAGGTGAGTGGATTGCCTGAGCCCGCGGGTTCGAGACCCTCCTGGGCAGGCGAGACCTCATCTCTACAATTTAAAAAAAAAAAAAAAAATCAGCCGGGCGTGGTAGTACACGCCTGTAATTCCGGCTACTCGGAAGGCTGAGGCGGAAGGATCGCCGGAGCCCAGCAGGTCAAGGCTGTGGTGGCCGGGAGCGGCCACTGCACTCCAGTCTGGGCGACAGAGTGAGACTCCAACTCAAAATAAATAAATAAATAAAAAATAAAAAGATGGAAAAATAGGCCATGTATTGCTTACACTTTAGATGACATATTTCATCAAAGAAGATTTTGAATTATTAATTACATTTGGATTTTATTTCAGGCAATATGTTTTAGAAACAAATTCCAATAAATAATTTGCATACTACCTTGAAGGTTTATGTGAAGTTATTTGTCTACTGTGATTTTTAGAAATATATTAGCTGGGCTCAGTGGCTCATGCCTATAATCCCAGCACTTTAGGAGGCAGAGGCAAGAGGATTACCTGAGCTCAGGTGATCCTGAGCAACATGGTAAGACCTTGTCTCTACAATAGATCAAAAAATCAGCCGGGCATGGTGGCGCATACCTGTGGTTCCAGCTACTTGGAAGGCTGAGGCAGAAGGATCACCTGAGCTTAGCAGGTCAAAGCTTCAGTGGCAGTGAGTGTGCCACTGCACTCCAGCCTGGGTGACAGAGTGAGACTCCAACTCAAAAAAAAAAAAAAAACTATTAATGTATGTTGTACAGATAATTAACTTATGTATTATTTACATTCATTATTAATATGGCTAATATGACATTTAAAAACAATTTTTAGGCCTTTTAATCCTCAGCTTTATGAAGATGAATTTGAAGATGAGAAAGTGCTTGACGAAGAAGATAGAATCAGGTTAAAATTAAAGGTACTATCTCATGCTTATTCTTTTTTTCTTTGAAGTTTTTCTTTTCCTTTTTAAAAAATTTTAATTTATTTATTTTAAAGATGTGGGCTACAATTCAGGATTAGGCAAATAAGTATCAAGTTTTTCCTTTCCTAAAGTAAAACACGAGGGTAATAACTTGAGACCTTATGAAAACAATCTTTTATGTCTTCTGTTTGATCAACAAGTAGCTCTTTAGACCTAGGAATTAAACATCTTTTCAAAATATCTTTAGAGGAGAAAGTGTATGCCCTTTTTTATCCCTGTAGAATTGTCACTTTTTTAACTTTTCTTTTTTGCAGTTGCAATTTTTTAACACAAGATAAAAATTTTTGAAAACTGTTAGCTGCTTCCACCCTGGCGTGGTGGCTCATGCCTCTAATCCCAGCACTTTGGGAGGCGGAGGCAAGAGATTGCCTGAGCCCAGGGGTTCAAGACCAACCTGGGTAACTTGGCGAGACCTTGTCTCTACAATAAATCAAAAAGTTAGCCAGGTGTGGTTGTGCACGCCTGTAGTTACAGCTACTTGGAAGACTGAGGCGGAAGGATCACCTAAGCCCAGCAGGTCAAGGTTGCAGTGACTGTGAGCATGATACTGCACTCCAGCCTGGACGACAAAATTAGATTCCAACTCAAAAAAAAGAAAAGAAAAGAAAATTGTTAGATGCTTCCTTCAAGATAAATAATAAGTATATGGAACTGCCTCTGCCTCCTGCAATGGGGAGAGCCTAGCAACTTCCCACAATAGAAATTTCTCTGGCTCTTTATGGATATTCAAATTATGAACAAAAAGACACCTTGTCATTAGGTGATTCTTCTCTAGAAGTCCTGGGATGGCAAAGCAGCACTATTGCTCTCACGGGCATGTTGTCTTCTTGAATGGAGTTTTCTTTTTCTTTCTTTCTTTTTTTCTTTCTTTTTTCTTTTAAGAGACTGGGTCTCATTATGTTACCCAGGCTGGAGTGCAGTGATATGATCTTGGTTTACTGCAGCCTCAAACTCCTGGACTCAAGTGATTCTCCTGCCTCAGCCTCCCAATTAGCTGGGATTATAGGCATATACCCCCCACTCTTGGCTACCAGGTTTCCTATGAACTTCTGCCAGGGTCCCCAGAGATAGCACTGAGCAGGATCAATTTGTATGGGTTCAAGTGTCCCTGTGATAAGAAGAGGTCTTAGTGTTAACTGCTTACTTCATGTGGCTCCGAAGCCTCATCCTTTCTCCTCTCTCCTTTGGAGCTCTTAGTGCGTCTGATAACACCTCTGGCCTGCATCATTCTTAGCTTTTGCTTCTACTGCAATGAACTAGAGCTCAGGAAAAAATATATATATATATTTCACATAGGCATCTCCCTCTATCACCCAGGCTGAAGTGCAGTGGCCCATGAGCACGGCTTACCATAGGCTCTACCTCCTGGGCTCAGGAGATGCTTCTGCCTCAGCCTTCCAAGTAGCTGGGACTACAGGTGCATGCCCTGGCCAATTTAAACATTTTTTTTTTGTGGAGACAAAGTCTTGCTGTGTTGCCCAGATTGTCCTTGAACTCCTGGGCTCAAGCAATCCTCCTGCCTTGGCCTCCCAAAGTGCTGGGATAACAGGAATGAGCCACTGCACCTGGTCTCAGAAAAGATTTAAATAAAATTTTTGGTTAGCTTAACCACCATTTCTAGGTATCTGTAGCAGGTGGGTTTCAGTGTTGCAGAATCAGCTATTTTTTTTTTTTTTAGTTGGAGTCTCAAAATGTCGCTCAGACTGGAGTACAGTGGCATACTCACAGCCGCCGTCGCCTTGACCTGTTGGGCTTAGGTGATCCTTCTACCTCAGCCTTCCAAGTAGCTGGAACTACAGGCATGGGCCACCGCGCCTGGCTAATTTTTTGATTTATTGTAGAGTTGAGGTCTTGCCAAGTCGCCCAGGCTGGTCTGAAACCCGTGGGTTCAGGCAATCCTCTCACCTTGGCCTCCCAGTGTGCTGGGATTATAGGAGCGAGCCACCACGCCTGCCTTATTATTTACTTATTTATTTTTTTACATAAGCTTATTCTATAATTACCTATCAATTCTTGGCACATGACTGCAAATCATTCAAGGAAAAAAAATTAACATTTATTTAAATTGGTTTAACTAACCAATGCCTTTGTGTTTTGAACTAGGTAGAAAATACTATACGATGGAGAATACGCCGGGATGAAGAAGGAAATAAAATTAAAGAAAGCAATGCTCGGATAGTCAAGTGGTCAGATGGAAGGTGAGTGCAAAATGCCTGAAGAGTGTTGACATACCGAAAAGGAGGCCTGAGTTGAATCACGTGTTCTGTGCGGGACCTTATTTTGAAATCATTTTTCATTAAAGAATTGACAAAATCGAATGCCCCAGGTGCTACCTAGGAAACCTGAGAGAAGTAAATAGGGTTGAGGTTACACAGCTGTGCTGGCGGGAGACTTCAGAAATGGCCCCAAGATGTGATCACAAGCCATTGTATCTACCTTCTTGATGTGAAGGACTTGATGTTTGCTCCCATTGGTGAGACCACAGCCACGACAAATCAATATTTTTGAAATATTATGTCTGCTTTGATAATGAAACAGGATTGAGAAAATTACAAAACAGTTATATTGTTTTAAAGAGGATAGATGTGGCCGGGCGCAGTGGCTCATGTCTATAATCCCAGTACTTTGGGAGGCCGAAGTGAGAGGATTGCCTGAGTCCACAGGTTCGAGACCAGCCTGGGTTACTTGGTGAGACCTCATCTCTACAATAAATCAAAAAATTAGCCAGGTGTGGTGGCACACACCTGTAGTTCCAGCTACTTGGAAGGCTGAGGTGGAAGGATCACCTAAGCCCAGCAAGTTGAGGCTGCGGAGGCTGTGAGAAAAAAAAAAAGAGGATAGATGTTATTGCTTTTTACTTGGAAAGGATAGGTCATTTACAGCATCCTTTCTGCTTTTCTGATGAATTCAGTATGAGGACAGGATCCCACAGTTCCACACCATTTTCAGTCAAGCTAACAGGGCAGAATGGAAACTGTAGGTCTCATTCCATTCCCCTCTAACACCTGAACTGTTTTCTCCTTTCCAGCATGTCCCTGCATTTAGGCAATGAAATATTTGATGTCTACAAAGCCCCACTGCAGGGCAATTACAACCAGCTGTTTATAAGAGAAGACACTGGTCTACAGGGACAAGCCATCTTTAAATCCCAGCTTACCTTTAGGTAACTATTCCCATCACACATGATTACCTGCAGTTCAAGAGCAGCTGAAGTAGAAATCTTGTGCAAAAAGCCCAACTAACATAGTTTCATAGTGCAGCTCATCCAGGACCATGGTCTTGTTCTGATACACTTTTCCCAGTTTACCACAAGTTGCTGTTTCTCAGGGAGCCAGTTCACACTATCAGAATTCACAGGAGGTTGATTTATACCACAGAAAACCAGAATATTTACCTGCATTGATCTGTGGCAAGAACAGCCTTGTTCCTACAGCCTTGTTCCTGCAGCTCTGCTGCTCAGGGGTCCCTTTCCCTTGAGTGAAATTGACACAGGAAGCTAGATGATCTTCAGAATGGAGTTTGTGTGTGGCTGCAACAGACCTGACAGACTAGGCTCTCTCCTTCTCTGTGGCTACAGCAGCCTTGCACAGAGCAGACAAATGCCCAGGCCAGTTTATGGCTGTGGCCCCTTCTCTACACCTTCCTTCTCAAGGACACATTGCTGTTAATTAGGAGTCATGTGGGGAGGCCGAAGTGGGAGAATTGCTTGAGCCCAGGAATTCAAGACCAGGCTGGGCAACATAGTGAGACCTGTCTATACAAAAAACCAAAAAATTAGCTGAGTTTGGTGGCATGTATCTGTAGTCCCAGCTACTCAGATGGATCACATGAGCTCAGGAGGCTGCGGTTGCAGTGAGCCATGATTGTGCCCCTGCACTCCAGCCTGGGTGACAGAGTGAGACTGCGACTCAAGGAGTCAGCTTTCCTTGAGAGGTGGGGATCTTCAAAGACAAGTGTTCTTTTAGGGGTTGTGGAAGTATCAGATTGTGGTCATGGTTGCACAATTTTGTAAATAAAAAATCATTTAAAGGCCCAGCACAGCGGTTCATGCCTATAATTCCAGTACTTTGGGAGGCTGAGGAGGGTGGATCCCTTGAGCCCAGGAGTTCAAGTTTACAATGAGCCATAATTGTATTTAAAATGAGTGAATGCTATGTTGTATGAATTATACTCAATAAATCTGTTGACCTTTTTTTTTGAGTTGGAGTCTCACTCTGTCACCCATGCTGGAGTGCAGTGGCATGCTCACGGCCACCGCAGCCTTGACCTGCTGGGCTCCAGCGATCCTTCCGCCTCAGCCTTCCAAGTAGCTGGAACTACAGGCACACACCATCACACCCGGCTAATTTTTTTTTAATTGATTGTAGAGACGAGGTCTTGCCAAGTTGCCCAGGCTGATCTCAAATCCCTAAGCTCAGGCAATTCTCTTACTTTCACCTCCCAAAGTGCTGGAATTACAGGTATGAGCCACTGTGCCCAGCTGTTGGTCTTTTTAAAAACCAACAGGGACAGTAAGGGACAGTTCTGAGGTTGTGCCTCTTGAGAAAGAGTCTTGATCTCACTAATTTCCAGTTTCTTTTTCTATAAAATGGAGATAACAATGTGTCCCTCACAGGGATGCAGTATCAGTAAAGTCAAATACATGTAAAACAAGATGCAGAGACCTGGTACAATACATGGTGCTGGATTTATCTGCTTTATGCTCTCTTCTAGAATGGCATCCAAAAGGTTGTGTGATTCTGAGCCTACGTTTTCTCCTGGTACCCCCTGTTCCACACTGGGACCATATCAACTGCCTGGCTGTTTCACTTCTCACATCCCTCCTCTCTGTAGCCATGCTCTCTCCCAGAGACCTTCTCCTGAGGATCATTGTTCTCTCTGATGTACTTAATTATAAGTTGCCTTCCTTCCACCACGAAGGCATCCATCGTTCTGTCCCAGGACTCCTGGTCTAGCTGTATTGTCCCACTGGGCTGTCACAAGGCCCATGCTGCTCCTGTGACCTGCCTCCTTGATTTGACCTCCTTCCAAATTTTTCCAGATGGAGAGCCCCATCTTTAACTCTCAAATTGTGCCTTCTGGCATCTGCACCCTCCTATGGGAACTGAGATTTCATACTCCCTCTCTTCTCTTCTCTGATTGTAGTTGGGGTGTTCTTTGTAAAAGCCCTTGGCCCAGCCACCTGCCTCTCCTCCCTCCCACTGACTTCCCGCTTCAGCCCAGTCAGCTCTTCCCAGGGTCAGTGTTGTCTCTAGGTGTTTTTTGCTGTGGGAATGATTGCTTCCAAATGTTTTGTGTAAACAGTGAGCCAATTTTGTCCATTTCCTGGCAGACCTCATTCTACAGACAGTGTCACACATAGAAAGATGACCCTGCCACTTGCTAATAGAAGTTCGAAGACACAGAAGATTAGAATCTTACCAATAGCGGGTTGTGATCCTGAATGCCAACGCACAGAAATTATGAAGGTATGTTTGATAAGTTTTATCCTGGGACATTTTGAGTATGGACACCTGTGTTTTCCAGAACATCGAGTCACCATTTTTTTTGCCACCGCTATTTTATTTCTTGTAGTTATCAGGGAGCCAGCTTAACCTGCTAAATGTGTCATCAGCCACAGTAATACCAATGGCTGATGGTGAGATTATAGCAAACAAGGGACTTGGACACGCTCCCTCTGATCTATGAGATTTCAGAGAAAACCGGTGATTTAAAAAGTATAAGCTTTGACAGATATAAAAATGTGTTAGCAAATGGGAAGGTCAAAAGAACATTCCTCACTTGTCCAATACTGGCCCAGCCTTGTGAGCTCTAATGTGCAAACACCAGGGAGACTGAAAGAAAGGCAGCTTACCTTGTGGCTTGGGACCCATCCTGTCTTCAGGAGCGGTGGGGATCTCTCTGGTTGTTAGGACTAGGACCGGAATATCTGGGAACTGTGGGAGTTTGGTGGAGCCTGGGCAGGTCAAATGCCTGGGGCTCAGGGATGAACAGAAACAGCTTCTGCCATCCCAGGGAGTCAGTTCAGTTGTCCGCTGGGCATGGATGGGGTTTCTCAGGTCGGTTGCTTCTCTCTGGGCTCTGAGTGGCAGCACAGAAGATAAGATGACACAGCTCTCAAGGACACGCCTGTGCCAGTTCTGATGGGCTGGTTTGTGTGAGGGGTCCCTTCTGCCTCTTCACCCTTGTGGGTGGTACTGGAGGTGTGAGTGGGAAGACCATGCTCTGAAGACACCTGGGACAGCAGTCATCCTGGACTTGGCATGACATGTTCTTTATGGTAAAAGTTGGCCCAAGTGGGCATGAAAGTAGTTCCTTTTGTAAGTTAAGGAGATCACTTGCTTCTTTACAGAAAGAAGAACGCTTGAGGGCTTCTACTCACCAGGTGTCTCAGACAGCCCATCTGCGGGAGAAGCAGGGCCAGCAGAGGCCAAGCACCCCCTACCAGGACCCTGGGAGTGACCATGAGGAGGAGGAGGAAGGTGAGGACACCTTCAGCCTGGCTGCCATTAAAAACTATTATCAAGGCGACCTCCAAGGTGAGTAGGGTGTGGAGGTCCCATTTTAGCATTTCAGGGTAGCAGTGCTGTCTTTGCTCTAGTGAGCTTTTTCTGTCCTACTGTTATTCACTTAGGACAATAGTAAAGGCCTTTTTTTGTTAGGGCCAGGCTCCCACAGAAAAGGTTAGCTGTGAAAATACGGCATCCCCAAAATAAAGAAAATCAATCAAATAATGTATGTCCTTGTGGAGGGAAATGTATAACATGCAGTTCCCTGTTTGCATAATTTAGGACCTGACACTTAAACTTCATTGTTCTTAAAAATGATGAATATATGAAGCTTCAGGGCTGGGCATGGTGGCCCACACCTGTAATCTCAGCCCTTTGGGAGGACAAGGTGAGAAGATTGTTTGAGCCCAGGAGTTTGAGACTAGCCTGGGCAATATAGTAAGACCTTGTTTCTGCAAAAAATAAAAAAAAATTAGCCAAGTGTGGTGGTGCATGCTTGTCGTCCTGGCTACTCGGGCGACTGAGGCAGAAGGATCACCTGAGCCCAGGAGGTCGAGGCTGTGGTGAGTCATGATTGTGCTACTGCACTCTATCCAGCCTGGGTGACAAAGTAAGACTCTGACTCAAAATAAATACATAAGTAAATAAATAAGTAAATAAGATCAGATAACCTCTCTGAGAACACAAATCAAGCACATCTAAGTCATTTCAGCATGTCTGAGAATTGTTGAAACTTAAAAAATTATTGGTTCCTCAAGGAAATGTCGTGGAAAACAACAATATTCAGCAGAAGGAAAATTCAGGAATTAACAAGTCATCATCTTTGCAGGTTAATCCCATGCCTAAAATTCTTATGCTTTCAGCAGAACGAGCCAGAATCTATTCCTCAGACAGTGATGAGGGATCAGAAGAAGACAAGGCTCAAAGATTACCCAAAGCAAAGAATCTTGACAATGATGAGGTAAGACAAAATTTAGTCCATTCTAGGGGTTTACCCTGTACCCAGGATCCAACTTCTAGGAATGAAGAGGTGTTCACAAACCAGGAGTACAGAGAGATGTCTACACCACTAAAGTTTGGTGAGATAAATGCAGTAATAGGGCTAGGAGTGGCCCAGAGTCTGATACCTATGTTTGGATGGGCCTTGAAGGCTGCACAGAGGAGGCCTCTCTCTGCAGGGTCTTGAAGAATGAGTGGACACTTGCAGACACATGGGCCAGGGTGGGGCACTCCAGGTAGATGGAAAGGCCTGTAAGGAAAGGTGAAAGGCCCGAGGCACCGAGTCTTGGCTAGAGAACTTCACATCGTTCAGTGTGGGCAGAGCAAGGGCCTACCATGTTCACTGTGGGAGATTGGGTATCTTTATTGTTTAGATATAATAGCAGTTGAGAATTATTTCATTTCTGTGTTATCAAAATATTTTTCCTTTTATTGTTTCTTTCTCCCTCTAAGATCATAGGTACAAAGATATTTTCAGTCTAAACTGTCTAAGAGAATCACTATGTTATTGTCCATAGACCATATTAATTCATTCAGTGTTCTCTGAAGACATGCTCTGTTCTAGGTTCTGGAGATACAGGTAGGAATAAACACTGCACTGACAATATTGGTCACTTGTGTGTTCACTTTTCCTCTTCGTATACAATGCACTACAAAGGGGGACCCCCCCAAAAAAAACCTGGAATTATCTTTTGGAGGGCAGGCCCCTTGTACACTCAGAATTTGTTCCTCCAGATGAAATGGTCAACCAAAGTTTTTATCTGGAAGTTTTGAGAAGGTTGCGTCATGACCTGCAGAAGAAAGTTCCTGAATTGTGGCAAATAGGTGACTGATTCTCCCACAATGACAACATACCTGCCCACAATGTTGAGTGTTCAGCAGTTTTTGTCCAAAAACAGCATGATCTCTGTGCCCACCCTCCCTATTCACCTGATCTGGCCCCAGCAACTCTTTTTGTTTCTCTGCATGAAAAAAGTCCTCAAAGGGAAGTGTTTTGCCAATGTGGAAGAGGTGAAACAAAAAACGGCAGAAGCACTAAAAGTTATCAAAATTGATGAGTTCAAAAACTGTTCTGAATGGTGGAAAAAGCATCTTGATAGGTGCATTGCATCAAACGGAGAGTACTTTGAAGGTGACTGAAGTTTAAACATGTAAGAATAAATACAGAATATAATTAAATTCTGAGAGTTTTTGGGTCCCCAATCGTACAGCCAACCCTCAGTATCCATGGGGGATTTTCAGGACCCATAAGGATACCAAAATCCACGAGTATACTTTAGATTGCTTATAATATCTAATACAATACAAATGCTATGTAAATAGTTATTATACCTCGTTTTATTTTTATTTTTTCAAACATTTTTGATCCACAGCTGTTTGAATACACGGATGCAGAGGCCCATCTGTACTGAATTTTATTTGTAGAGATGGGGGGTCTCACTATGTTGCCCAGGCTAGTCTTGAACGCCTGGCCTCAAGTGATCCTCCCACCTGAGCCTCCCAAAATCTTGGGATTACAGATGTGAGCCACCACGACCAGGTGTACTGAATTTTAGGTAGAGAAAATGAAGCAGGGGAAAACATTTCAAGTCATGTAATAGCAATGCCAGTCAGTATAGATTAAAAAGTAAGTGTTCCTCCAGGCCTGACCACTGCCCAGGGGAAAACTAGGTTCCAGTTGCTTGATCCTCCTAGAGACTGGCTGCGGGGACACAGGTTGACCACTGTGTGGGGTGCAGCGTCAAGTCCTACCGGGAAGGGCTGGCTGGCTCCCCCAGTCAGCTCAGAACTATTTTAGATAACATTGCCAGAAACATTTTATATTGAATTTTATGTTTCATCTCTTATCCATTCAGGAGGTGAATCTTCCAGAAAGAGGAAAGCAGGGAGTGAAGAGAAAGAAGTTATAAAGCCCTAAAACGTGCACTCAATGTATTCAACAGTTTGTTTTTAAAACGATGATGAAATGACTTGTTTGGATTTAATGTAGCTGCGTTTGCATAATCCTAGTTATGAATAAAACATTTTCAAAAGTAAGTCCATGCCTTTGAAAACTCAATTTTTCCCTAAGAGAGGACCATTTTTGTAATTGCTCTGGGTGGGTCTTAGGTTTTAGTGCACTCCTGCCGCTCCACCTGATCTGCTTGCTCCTGGTCCCAGCACAGAGGTCTGCTTAAGTTCACCTTGGGTGTGGCCTCCTCTGAGATGTCCTCCCTCACTTGCCTAGCTAAGTTTGGGGCACTGTGCTTTTAGGAGAGCAGGGAGAGCAGGGAGGGCTCACTGGGTACTGGGTACTTTGACCAGTGTTGTGTGGCCTAATTCTAATCCTCAGATCACCTTGCGGGGCAGGTGCTGTTATGCTCCTCTTACAGATGTCGACGCTGATGTCTGAGGAGTTTAAGACTACTGTGCAAAGCTTTTGCTCCTCAAGTAAATACGGTTTTTTTTGAGACATGGATAAGGATCTTACATTCACAGCAATCGCAGTGCTAAGCAGATACTTCAGTGACCTTACAGAGACATATACCCCAAATATCTGAGATATACAGGCACTATTAGGTTTAGCAAAAAAGAGCAGCAGGAAACAAAAACACTAGATTTGACCTCTAGTTTTGTGGCTGCTACAGAAGCTGGAACATAATAGCGCCTAATAAATATTTATTGAATCAACAAGCCAATGGCGTTATCTTGGGCAAGTCACTTAACTTCTCTGACATCAGTTTCCTCACCTAGGTGGGCTTTAGATTTGACCGCATAGACTTTCATGATCAAATGTTTATATTTCTCTACCTTTGAGAGCAGAATACTAGATAAGTTTTTAAAAATGTTTTGCTAAATAGAAGCAATCAAGAAAAAAAATGGCTCATCTCACCCTGCAGAAAATCCCAATTTACATTGTTTCCTTCTCTTTTATACTTTTACAGTGTAATTGCTTTTTTTTTTTTTTTTTTTGAGATAGAGTCTCACCCTGTCACTCAGGCTGGAGTGCTCTTTTATACTTTTACAGTGTAATTGCTTTTTTTTTTAGATAGAGTCTCACCCTGTCACTCAGGCTGGAGTGCAATGGCACATTCACAGTCACTGCAGCCTCGACCTGCTGGGTTCAGGCGATCCTTCTGCCTCAGCCTTCCAAGTAGCTAGAACCACAGGTATGCACCACCATATCCACCTAATTTTTTTGATGTATTATAGAGATGAGGTCTCACCAAGTTGCCCAGGCTGGTCTCAAACCCTGGGCTCAGGCAATCCTCTCACCTCTGCCTCCCAAAGTGCTGGGATTACAGGTATGAGCGACCTGGCTGACAGCATAAATTTCATGGTTGTATAGTACACAGAGGTCATAACCAGATTTGCTTCTGAAAGACCATTTAGAAACTCATTCAGAAGACTGAGGAGTACCAGCAAAATTTATTATACTACTACCAGGTATTCTATGAGGCTAGTCTTGAGGTTCTATGAACAGGACCAGGGCTGGGGAGTCAGGCTGGGATCTCTAGGCTCTCAACCCAAGCAGGTGATGCAAGTAGGCTTAACATTTGAAGGGGAAAAAAAAATTAGCGATTTTGGATCCACATGTGATCAGCCACTCCCACTATTTGCTACCTAAAAGAGTATTTGGTTCCACTGGGCTGAGTATTTTTAACTGGATTGCTTTGGAGGACATGGTGAAGACACTGTCTCCTCACAGCCAGAAAGAGTCCCTGGCACTCATATCCTCTGAGACTTGGTGGGGAGCAGCTCACAACTCAAGCATCTGAGCCTCATGACTCATCAGATAAGGGGGTATGCATGGAGGCTTCCTGTGTGTGAATGAGAAGCTCAACAGCCATCCTCAGAAGGCCAAATAACATTAAAGATTCCAAGTGAATTGCTTTGTTCTCCTAAGTAAGGAAAACTCTGAAAATATTAAATTATTTAACCTTTATCTCTGAAAGTTTCCTCAAACCCATTACATGTTTCACTGATTTTTCTCTTTTGGTTGATGGATATAGGTGACTGATGAGATGTTTTTGTTTTACTGTAAAAATCATCTCTAGTTTTTTCTTCATATTTTATTTATTTATTTATTTTTGAGTTAGAGCCTCACTCTGTGACCCAGGCTGGAGTGCAATGGCACAAAAAATCATCTCTAGTTTTTTTTTTTTAGCAGAACTGGCTCCCATCAGGTCTAGAATGTACTGTATCACAGGCCCTGCTTCTTCATATGTCAACTCAATTCAATCTTATGAAAAGATAAGACCCAGTACTGATGAAATTAGGTTGAACTATCTGAAATTACTGTTTTATGGGCAAAAATGGTCAGATATTGACAATTTTATATGGTTCAACTTAACAACTCAGACTATCCTAACAAAATACTGAATAACAGAAATTTATTACTCACATTTCTAGAAGCTGGAAAGTCTGAGATCAAGATTCAGTTTCTGGTGCAGGCTCCCTTCCTGGCTTGCAGACAGCCATCTTTTAATACACATAATTTCATGTAGACATCTTCACATGGTAGAGAGTCCATGTCTCTTTGAATAAGGACCAAATTCCATCATGAGGGCTCCACCCTCATGATCTCATCTAACCCTAATTATCTTCCAAAGGCCCTCATCTCTAAACACCATCACACTATGGGTTAGGTCTTCAACATATGAATTTGGGAAGGGGCAGGGGAAACACATTCAGTTCATGACAAGTAGGATAAAATAACTTGGGGAAATTGATAAGCTTCTTCCTAAAGAGGGATTTAAGGAATACACCTTAGAACATAGGTACTAAAGAGATTATATGTTTTTACAAAACGCCAGAGTCTACAGGATATTTGATTAACTTTATTGAAATTATTATTCCAGAATATAGTGGTAAGTTCTAAATACCTCTAATACATATTTTTCAAAAGAAACTTCACTGTGCTATTATGAATTTGGTTGATAACATTTTGTACTATTTAAATATCAGTGTTGTAAAATTCATTGCTTTTATACTTACGAAAACTGAAAAGTAAAGCATTTACCGTGTTTTATATATTTTTGCATTAGAAAAAATGTATTTAAATACCTTACTTCAAGTAACAAAGAGTGATGCATTGTTACAAAAGTAATTTTCAAGCTTTTAAACATAACTAAAACCAAATATAATTCATCCAAAAGACTGGAAAAAAAAACTTATTTGAAGTTACAAAGGTTTTTATGCTGTTTGTGTATGCACATTTTTAAGAAACAATTCTTAAAACAAACAACTCTAAAACAATTGAATCAAAAATTTATCTTCTTTTTTGAGTGCAGATGAAGTTTAAAACTCCTGGAAATTGCTACACCTAGAAGTACCAAGAATTTTTCCTTAAACTCTTCTCTCTGAATGTATTCGACTATAATATCTGAAATATTTTAGGCCAACTAATTGCTGTGCATCAATTAAAAAATACCGACAGACTGTAGAAAAAGGGATTAAAACCCCTCATCTATGTATGTTCTAAGGGTGTGAGATTTTCTTTAAACATATGAATATGTTACAGCTCTATCAACAAAACATGGCTGCTGGTGTTTCTTAGTGTTACAATCTTTTCAATAGAGTCTCTAGAGCAGGTGCCCTAAAATAAAATTTTTTATATGTTAATGAAGGCTTTCTGAAATACCTGGTAATGGATTACAATAGTTCACTTAATAATGCCCTTTTCCCTACATAACCCCTAAGGTTGGCCCCTCTGAATAATCACGCTGCAAGATGGAGTTTAAATTAATCAAATGTAAAAGGTTTATTATAAAATTTCCAACGTATTCTATTTTTATAGGGAAGGACTTATGGAATTGAATTATAGTGGAGGAAAATCTATGCAAGTTGAGTATCCCTTATCTAAAACGTTTGGGACCAGAAGTGTTTCGCATTTCAATTTTTTTGAATTTTGGAATAGGGCATTATACTGGTTCAGCATCCCAAATCTGAAAACCTGAAATCCAAAATACTCCAATGAGCATTTCCTTTAAGCACCACAGTGATGCTCAAAAAGTTTAGAATTTTAGAGCATTTTGAATTTTGAGATTAGGGATGTTCAAGTCATGTGACATAAGAAAGAATGACCAAATTAAAATATAAGAATAAAAAAAACCTTTATCTATAAATACTATTTTCTCAATTTAAAAATAGTGAAGAGTCTGTGATTTGTTTGGTTAGCAAGTCTTAGGGTAAGGAAATATCTAGAAACATTAATGACACCAGTGAGAGCTGATGGAGAGGACAATTCTCTATGTTTAGACTCAAGAACTTACATCCCTTGTCTGACAACAGCAGCCCAAGTTGTCTCTAGTACATTCATGTGGTCAGTTCTCTTGGGCGCCATGTCAATACTATTTAAAAGGTAAGTAGCATTGTCATGTAGGAGTACTGCTGGACAGTGCTGAATTTGCAGAGAATGGAAGTGGCTACGGATTCTAGAAAAAGCATGGTCCTCCGATCTGCTGGGAGTGAACAATGGTTCCCAATTTTAAAGAGAAAAAGTGAGGCAGTCCGGGGAATACAGAGCCAAAAATGTGGAAGTTTTTATGAAACTCCACAAATTTTTTCATCTTATCTTAATGGCAGTAAGGGTTATCTATAATGTACCATAGGACATTAGTAACAGTTCATCAAAACATATTTTTCTTTTATAATTTTTATCTCATGGAATCCCCTTTTTAAATGAAAACACATCAGATACTTGGTCAATTGGAAAACAATTTACAAAGTTCTATTTACATGTAACTTTTCCAGAGTGCATGTCTTACACAAAGCTAGTATGTGGCTTATTTCATTCAAATAACAAGAATTTGCAATTAAATGACCAAAGTAATTCTCCTTGAAGTCTCTAACAACCTTCTAATTTATTTAACACAAAATGTTTATTTGGTCTTTTAAACAACATACACCTCTAAAAAGTATATTTCACTTATTCTTGAGACTTCTTCTAGGTTTTAGCTACAAGTATATAGCACCAAAGTCCATTTTAATAGTATCGATATTTGCCATTGAGTTTTTAACACATACAATTTCATGTAGACATACTGAAAAAAATTGAATGCCAGACAAATATGAATATACAATTTTATAAAATGTTTTTCTAAACAGCAATTTAAAAATACAAATAATATATTTTTAGATAACCAACTAAGTTACAAAGTTTAAGGTCTCAGAAAATTTTTGGCTTAAAAAAATCAAGACTGTTCCAAAACCCTAATCTTTTTATTCCATTATAAAATTTTAGAGCAATTTAGAAATGATGAAAGTTGCAAAAGGTTAAGAGGTCCCAGATTTTAAAGATCAAAATAAACACCATTTTTCTCCCTTACAATTATTGAAAGATTTTTTATATTCAATTGGATGAATGTTCATATTTAAAGTTACTTATGAAAAAATATTTTTTTCAATTATATAATGAACTACAGTAGTGCAGAACTGGAATGGTACAAACAAAATACTCTTCATACTTTGATAAATAATAAGTGAAAAAGATATTATCCATAAGTATAATACAAAATTCTAGGTAGGGTGCTACCTACCTATACAAAAAAGAAAAAAATCTTATGAAAGGAAAAGAAAAGCCAGCTTATCAATTTATTGACTTATAGGACAATGCAAATATGGCTGTCTGGCTAAAAGTTAAGTGATCCATTCTTTCCAGTAGCCTTAGATACTTATACTTGCTCCATGCCCGACTCTCAACCTTGCTGGAACTGTGCAGTCTATAAAATCAAATACAATTCAAAAGTTGTACATGAGAAGAAAAAGTCGGGGGGGGGGAAGGAGGCAGGGAAAGAGGAACAGAAACAGAGAAGGAAGGAAGGGAGATAAGGAGGGAAGAAGGCATTGAGCAAGAAAGCAAGCAAGTGAGCCTTGCTAATAACTTGACAAAAAAAGTCAGTGGCCTTTAATTGAAAGGAAACAGTGCAAAATCCATTGCTGGCCCCTTTAAAACTTTAGATACTGATGCAAAAAAAAATATACCACAGCTCTTAGGAAGGAAGCCTTAGCCCATTCAGAAGATTTACTACCATAGTACACAAGAAGCACCTGGCTCATTATCATTAGATCAACTGTGGGGCCCAAGCCAAAGCGCCATTTTGCAACTCAATTTCAAAAAGTTTTTTTAAAAAAGTAACTACAGCAAACCACCCCCCAGCTACTCAGAAGAGAGTCTTCCCTTTAGAAAAATCTTCCTGTAAGTGGTATATCTAGGCTTGAATTTTGAGGCCAGGGTTACCTCCAACTCTTTTCTTCCCTGTTTTCTGTAGCTGTAAATGCCTCTACCACCTCCCACTCCAGAGGCTATCCTGAGACAGGGCATAAATGCAAGCCCAAACCCTCTACCCAGCATAGGTTCTGCAGTCTCACAGCAACCCCACTACAATACACTGTTCAGTTGTTCACTTTAATACTTTGAGCAATAAAGATCACTTTTGTAATAGACATGACTTTTATACAATATGGACAAAAAAAGTATAAGATGAAAGGAAGCATATACTAAAAATCAGATTTTTTTTTTTGAGTTGAAGTCTCACTCTGTTGCCCAGGCTGGAGTGCAGTGGCACGCTCATGGCTACTGCAACCTCGATCTGCTAGGCTCAGGTGATCCTTCCACCTCAGCCATCCAAGTAGCTGAAACTACAGGCGTATGCCATCACATCCGGCTAATTTTTTGATTTATTGTACAGACAAGGTCTAACCAACTTGTCCAGACTGGTCTTGAATCCCTGGGCTCAGGCAATCCTCTTGTCTCCACCTCCCAAAGTGCTGGGATTACAGGCATGAGCCACCATGCCCAGCTAAAAATCAGATTTATGAAGAACAGTTTTCCTTATTGGCTAAAAATTTGTAATGGTGCTAAAATACTGTTTATGCAATTCTGCATTGCATATAGGAACTTCTTAGTATATTATACAATACCAAGTAATTTACACACAGGCCAGTTTCTAATTGACTTACAGTAACCATTAATTTAAATGACCATTTTTAAAAGCTCCTCAGACATAAATTCCGTCATATTTATTATCTTTGATTTCATGTGTTTAACAGCAGCTTTATTTTTTTCTTTTACCCTACATAACTCAAAAATGGCTATATAGGCATTTTTATAAGGGAAAAACCCAGCTTTTCCTCTTAGATGTTTTTTACTGGTAGTTTTCACAAAAATTTAATTATGCCCACATTATTAAAATGAAAAACTGGGATGCACTTAGACAAAACTATACTTCTAAATAAAGTATGTACCTGGCAAAGCTAATGACTGTTTAAAAACAAAAACAAAACCTATGTGTTGCTGAGACACAGATAAGTACAGTAACCTGAAATGCCTAGAAGACCACTGTCTCTCCCTGCAGATCTACTTTTGTTCATAATCAGATGACAAGATTTTGAGTCAACTATTTTAAAATTCTGGCATTTTGTTCTCTTGCTAATGAAAAAACACACCCTTGCCAAGTTCATGTATTTTAAAAAATGGAAAAATCTTCAGGTCATGGAATAAAGAAAGCTCTTGAGTGCAATAGCACTCAAAAAAAAAAAAAAAAGAGCAATAGCAATTTGGATATCAGTAATGTCCCTTTGATTTAAAAAAAAGATTGGTCCTTACAATGTTCAAATTATTCTGCATAAATGACTTCTGAAACTTTTTTTATTTACAATTGTGTTTTTTTTTTGCCCGAGTCATCATAAATCATTCAATTAAGCTAAATTAAAATTGATTTTAGGAGAAAGTAGAAATGTATTAAAATATAAAATATCGCCTACTATTGATTTTACAATTTGAAATGGATAACAACTTAAACTAAAAAAAATGCACGTATTTAAAAAAGATTTCCAGTCTTTTCCCTTCTACCTAGGAAAATGTTTACATCTGATGCCACCAACATGAGCTCTCGGTGATCTTTTGAAGTCTTGGCAGACTTACTGGTGGTCTCCTTCAACTCGTCTCTTGCGCACTATAAGAAAAACAAAGGAAAGTATGTTAGAAATCCCTGTAACTTGCTTGTAACAAGCAAGTTTCTATATAATCTAGTTACAGTGTTAGAAAATGAAATGCCTATTTCCAGTTCACATGACCGTTAATTTAAAAGAAAAGCCCTACTTCCTATTATTCACCATTGTCATTTACCTGTTGAGAATTAAGTGTCACAGTACCAGCACTACAATCTAAAGCACAGTATGGTCAGCAATCATCTCCAAGATATTTGTTACTGATACACTTAAGTTTAAAAAACGACCAGGCTGGAGGCGGTGGCTCACACCTATAATCCCAGCATTTTGGGAGGCCGAGGTGAGAGGATTGCCTAAGTCCAGGGGTTCAAGGGCAACTTGGCAAGACTTGTCTCCACAATAAATCAAAAAAATTAGCTGGGCGTGGTGGTGTGAGCCTGTAGTTCCAACTACTTGGAAGGCTGAGATGGAAGGATTGCCCAGCAGGTCGAGGCTGCGGTGGCCGTAAGCGTGCCAATGCATTTCAGCCTGAGCGACAGAGTAAGACTCCATCTCAAAAACAAAAAAACTAAAAGTATATATGTAGTTTTTTTTTTAATTGAGAAAATTAAGCTTAGCCAGGTGTGGTGGCTCACGCCTATAATCCCAGCACATTGGGAGGCTGAGGTGAGAGGACTGTCTGAAGTCACAGGTTCGAGACCAGTCTGAGCCACTTGGTGAGACCTCATCTCTACAATAAATCAAAAAATTAGCCAGGCATGGTGGCGGCATGTGCCTGTAGTTCCAGCTACTCGGAAGGCTGAGGTGGAAGGATCTCCTGAGCCGAGCAGGTCAAGGCTGTGGTGGCCATGAGTGTGCCACTGCACTCCAGCCTGGGCAACAGAGTGAGACTCCAACACACACACACACATACACAAAAAGACTAATAAATTTGTGTGTTAAATTTTGAAGCAACATTCAGGCAGCTGGGTGAGAACTTACTAAAAGTAACTACTTGCATGCTTCTGATTAGACACTACAGTGTATTTCCTTAGTCTGTAAAATAACACACCAAAAACATTTCTGTCATTTTTATAGGTAAGTGACTTGCTACTGCTTTCCAGATTTTCCATCTGTTGTCTCCTGCAAAATGAACTAGTTCAGGGCTCTGCCAGAACAAGTACCCAGTACTGAAACCGTCAGACCCTGGTAATGTGGTGAGGTCAACTCTGGTTACCATAAAGTCATGTTGCCAAAGTGGCTAGCCAACTAGCTCTGCTACTGGCGTAAAGAAAGTGCAAACTTCAGACAATTCTTTAGGGTAGAACATTTCTAAGAAAGTTTTGAATTGCAGTACAGTTTGGATGTTACTGGCAGACACACTTCAGATGTTAAAATGCATGCTACAAAAATACATGTTATAAACAAGATCTACATGACAGGATGCATCAAGCAAAGGTGTAAAAAACAGATTATGTGTGTAGTTAACTAGTGTAAAAATAATATGAGATTTCAAGTGAAACAGAATATTGCATGTATACCATAGAACCTCTTTGCTGTTATAGTTGTGACACTTTCTTAGCTGAAGAGATGAAGAACAGGTAGAATTATTTCAATGAATAGTTGAGACTAAGAAAACAAGGAGAGAGGAAAGACATTATTGAAGTTAGAACACCAAAATTCTGATAGAGCCCCATTTGAAGGTGAAAAAAATTATATGTCCAAGAGATTCTGTGCAAGTTTCAAGTCTTATTTTTTGATACTTCTTTTGTGTTATTACATATCAGGTTGCTGAAACCTGTATGTTAGAAAACATGGTCTTCAGACTTTCCACTGTGACCTATACGCAGAGGTCAAGTGTACAGGTGAAAGGAAACCCAGCTGGATGAGTGGAGGGGAGGCTGCTGTGTGGGGCAGAGAACCACTTCTGACTCCTCTTTCTTACCTGGTGCCCACAGGCTATCTTCTACCATTACTACTCAGTTCATCTCCAGATGACAGGCTTATCAATTCAGCCCTACTAAGAATTCTTTTGGTCTGGTCCAACTTCTTTCCAAAATCCACTCCACTGATGGAAGTTTTCAATACATCATCATTAGTTGATTGCAAACATCCTTACTAACCTCATTTTCCTTCTGTCTCTTTTTTTTTTTTTTTTTGAGTTGGAGTCTCACTTGGTTGCCCAGACTGGAGTGCAGTGGCCGCTCCCGGCCACCGCAGCCTCGACCTGCTGGGCTCCAGCGATCCTTCCGCCTCAGCCTTCCAAGTAGCCGGAATTATAGGCATGCGCTACCACTCCCAGCTGATTTTTTTTTTTTTTTGATTTATTGTAGAGATAAGGTCTCAAACCCGCGGGCTCAGGCAATCCACTCACCTCAGCCTCTCAAAGGTGCGGGATTACAGGCTGAGCCACTGAGCCCAGCTCCTTCTATCTCTTAAAGAGTAATACAAATAGTTTTTGTTTTTTTTTTCTGAGTTGGAATCTCAGTTTGTTGCCCAGGTTGGAGGGCAGTGGCACACTCACAGCCACCGCAGCTGTAAACTACCTATTGGGCTCAGGCGATCCTTCTAAGTAGCTGGAACCACAGGCATGTGCCATCATGCCCACTCATTTTTTGAATTATTGCAGAGACGGGGTCTCACCAAGTTGCACAGGCTGGTCTTGAACTCGTGGGTTCAGGCAATCCTCTTGCTTCGGTCTCCCAAAGTGCTAGGATTACAGGCTTGAGCCACCATGCCTGGCCTTGAAGTATCTTAAATATATTTAGTGGTCTGCAATGGCCCTCAAATGCCTCCCACATAAAATCCAAAGAAATCAATGTTCTTTATCATGCAATTTTAGTGTCCTCTACCAACCCTCCCTCTTAAATCTATTGATGTCACTTTTCTTGTTAGCTTCAGACAACAAATACTTACTGAAAGTTTACTCTGGAGCCAGTAGCACGCTGAGCGTCAGTTCTTAAAATCTGCAGGCTGTCACCAGCATATAAATAACTTTCTTGCTCTCAAATTTGAGTTTTTATCCATATAATCTCCCCTCATCAATGTCCTCATTATCATTTCATGCCTGAGACTCATGTCTGAAAAATTAGTTTGGATCAGAATCCAGAAGTATGAGGGGGAGTCTCGAGAGCTTGAGAACAAAGCTGCTTGCTTTCTCTTGATTCTGCTCTGCTCTGTGTCGGACCTCAGCTTCCTCAACACGGTCACCTCTCCCTCTATGACACACTGCTGTGGATAGCTATGTAGTGTTCAATGCCAACAGAGAGGCCTAAGAGACAGTTTTCATCTATTCCCCTCAACTTCCATTTGCCAAAGCCTCCCTTACTCTAATAATGGAAATTTATTTTCTCATAAATACGTGGGCAAAGTGCCTACCACGCTAGGCTTTGTGGAAGAGCACAATTGCAGAGGCCTTGCCAAGGCTGGCATCCTTGTGGTGACACTCATGGACTTTCACTGTACAGCTCCTGGAGAGGAGGCAGCTGGAAGCACCTGCTCTGGGAAAGGATGTATGTAAGATGGCTGGGGCTACAAATTTATTGGTGGGATTTTGGGATTTGTTAAAAGATTCACAAGAGAAGTAAAATAGAGGATAGTTCTGGCTTAGTTTATGGCTGTTTAGGTAAAATGGTTAAGTTTGAGCAAGATTCAAATTCTATCACCTTATTTACTAACTTAGTAGAATTTTCTTAAGTACCTACTGCATGTCAGGCATGGTTTTAAGAGAGCTGGGATTCAATAGCTGAACATGGTCCCTGCTAACAACATGGCTCTGCCCTCAAAAAGCTTACAGTCTTTGAAAATAGACAATTACAATAAGGTACAACTAACTTTCAAAGCAAAAGGAAATTTTAAAAGTGTGGCAAAAGGAAATTTTAAAAGTTGTGAAAAGTAGAGGGTTTACGGGCACACCTGCTCAAGAGGTGCAACAATGATGAACTCAGAAACTCAAATATCCTCTTAAAACTGGAGAAGCCAGCAAGGGGTTCACTGGGTGTGAAATGCCAACAGAGAGGCCTAAGAGACAGTTTTCATCTATTCCCCTCAACTTCCCACTGTAGACTACTTAAATCAGAATCTCTTAGAGAAAAAAGTCAATAATCTGTGTGTTTTTTAAAGCTCTCCAATTATTTACAAAGTTCAGCTAGACTTGAGAAACACTGTTCTCAAAAGCAAAATTAAAAACCTGAAGGAAAAAGTAGAAGCTAACTAGTGAACCACTACTAAAACAACTAGCATGACTTTGCAAACCACATCTGAAATCAGTAATGCACCAAAACACACCAATTTTCTTTTAAAAAAGCAAGCGGCTAAAACCTCTTATGGGAAACTGCAGTCTTACAAAGGACATAAAAGGTTTGAACTAACACACTTCACAGTGATCTGGATTAAAGGAGTAAAGTTGTATTTTTTTGTCCCAGGAACTTTTAAAGAATGCAAAATCAAATATGGTTGAAGCTTAAGAGAATTGCAGTACTTTGAAATGTTACTCATTTTGAGAAGTCTAATTTTAATTTTTATCTGCAATGCATCTTTAAAAATACTTCAACGGCAAACATCATAACCTAAGAGTCAACTTTTGGAAACAGTAGCAACAATTAAAAGCACCATATTCTTTTTTTTTTTTGAGTTGGTGTCTCACTGTGTTGCTCAGGTTGGAGTGCAGTGGCATGCTCATGGCCACTGCAGCCTCAACCTGCTGCGCTCAGGTGATCCTTCTGCCTCAGCCTTCCGAGTAGCTGGAACTACAGGCACGCGCCACCAAGCACAGCTAATTTTTTGATTTATTGTAGAGATGAGGTCTCGCCAAGTTGCCCAGGTTGGTCTCGAACCCATGGGCTCAGGCAATTCTCTCACCTTGGCCTCCCAAAGTGCTGAGATTATAGGTGTGAGCCACTGTGCCCGACCTGCACCATATTCTTTAATTCAGCCTTGGTTGGAAAATATTTCAAACAGAAGCCACAAACTTCAGCAATTCAATAGAATCTACAAAAGCATGGAGATTACTGACAAAGATGTATATAGTAAGAAGACAACTGCCCTTAATAGTCCTGTTAGGGACACTAGTAAATGTCCACGTAACAGTGACTATAAAACTTGGCAGAACTATACTTATTTTATATATCCTGCTATAACATAAAATTAAATTTCTATCTGGATCTTTTCTTTACTGCTGATATCTTCGTTTTCTTTTCTTTTTCTTTTTTTTTTTGAGTTGGAGTCTCACTCTGTCACCCAGGCTGGAGTGCAGTGGCACACTCACGGCCACCCCAACATTGATCTACTGGGCTCCAGCATTCCTTCCGCCTCAGTCTTCCATTTTTGTTTTCTTAAATTAGTTCACTGCAGCCTTGAATTTCTGGGCTCAGATGATCCTCCTGCCTCAGTCTTATGAGTAGCTGGGACTGCAGACATCCACCACCATGCCTAGCTATTAAAAAACATCTTTTTGACAGATACAGGATCTTGCTATGTTGCCCAGGTTGGTCTCAAACTCCTGGCCTCAAGCAATCTTCCCGCTTCAGTCTCCCAAAAAACTGGGATTACAAGCAAAAGCCACCACACCCAACCTTTGAAATCTTTGTTTTTATAGCTCCATGGACTGATTTGTAACTGAGAACAAAATATTTGTTGTAAAATGCTGTTCAGCTAAAGATATATATTTGTCACAGGAAGCTGATTTTACTCCAATTATCACTACAACCTCACTTAAATTTAACTATAATTCAAACAGTACAAAAAGGACTGTGTAGATTTTAGAAAGAGAGGTCAAGTAATTTCCCTCTGTTAAAATTTATTTTCAAAAGTGAAAGAAAGGCTGCGTGCAGTGGCTTATGCTTATAATCTCAGCACTTTGGGAGGTCCAGGTAGGAGAAATGCTTGAGTTCAGATGTTTGAGACCAGCCTGGGCAACATAGTAACACCTTGTCTCTACACAAAATAAAAAAACTAGCTGGGCATAGTGGGACACCTCTACTTAAGAGGCTGAGGAGGGTAGATCCTTTCAGCCCAGAAATTTGAGGTTGTAGTGAACCATGATTGTGCCACCATACTGCACTCCAGTCTGGGCCATAGAGTGAGACCCTGATTCAAAAAAAAAAAAGTGAAAGAAGGACCCCCAAAACATTAGTTTAGTGATAGAATTCAAAAACTCGATTTGCTGCTGTGTGTGTCTTACCTAAGTCATTGTTTTTTGTTATAGCATTAGCTGCCCTGGTTCGTGGTCCCTGATGTGTAAACTGATATCCAAATTTAAGAATATTTGTATTTTCCTCAAGCATCTTTGCCATTTCCACTTCTACAGCTGTCCCCAACTGCTGCCTCTGGAATAATTAGAAATAAAGAACAATATTAATGAACTAGGTCAAAATACTTTTAAAAGTAAATTAAGACTAAGATATTCAGGCACATGCTGATTCTATTGTTCTTTTTACGTTTTCCCAATTCTTACAACCTATATAAATTAAATTTTTAAAATTTCAGTACTATGATCATCATACAAACAACAAAAAAGTGTAAATTACCATAATGAATATTATTTCACACCCACCAAGATATGCATAATAAAAACATATAGACAATAACAAGTGTTGGCAAGAATGTGGAAAAATTGGGACCCTTATACATTGCTGGTAAGAATTTAAAACAGTGTGGCTGCTGTAGAAAACTGTTTGGCCATCACACAAAAAGTTAAACACAGCAACCATTTGATCCCACAGTTCCTCGTACCCAAGATAAATTAGTCAAATAGCAGAAACACCCCAGATGTAATAGAATATTACTCAGCCATAAAAAAATGAAGTACTAGCCAGGCTCGGTGGCTCAGTCTGTAATCCCGCGCCTTTGGGAGGCTGAGGTGAGTGGATTGTCTGAGCCTGCGGGTTCGAGACCCGCCTGGGCAGCAAGACCTCATCTCTACAATAAATAAAAAAAATCAGCCGGGCGTGGTAGCACATGTCTGTAATTCTGGCTACTTGGAAGGCTGAGGCAGAAGGCTCGCCGGAGCCCAGCAGGTCAAGGCTGCGGTGGCCAGGAGCAGCCACTGCACTCTAGTCTGGGCGACAGAGTGAGACTCCAACTCAAAAAAAAATGAAGTACTGATACATGCTAAAAGAAGCCAGTCACATAAGATCACATATGGCTTGATTCCACCAATATTAACTATCCAGAACAGTCAAATCCAGAGACAGAAAAACATTAGCAGCTTCCTGTGACTGGTGGGAGGGGTGAATGGGGAGTGACTGATAATGGGTATGGAGTTTTTTCTGGTTGCAAAACTCTGTGAATACACTAAAAAACACGTAATTGTATACTTTAAAAGAGTGAATTTTACTGTATGTGAATATCTCTATTAAAAAACTGAAAACACAAATTAAGACATAATCTTTTTCTACTTTCACAGTCTACAAAATATATTTACTTTGAATGACTGAGGGAGACATTTACCAAATATTTTTTCAAATAACTGAAGTTACTTTTCAAATAAAAAAAATTAAAAAGGCTGGGTGTGGTGGCTCATGCATTTTGGGAGGCCAAGGTGAGAAGATTGCATGAGTCCAGGAGTTTGAGACCAGCCTGGGCAACACAGCAAGATCTCATCTCTACAAAAAATCAAAAAGTTAACTGGGCATGGTGGCGCATGTCTATAGTCCCAGCAACTCACAAGATTGAAGTGGAAGGATCACCTGAACCCAGGAGGCCAAGGCTATGGTAAGCTGTAATTGTGCCACTGTACTCCAGAGTGGATGATACAGTGAGACCTTTATTCAAATAAACAAATAAAAATTAATACCCACTCTGGATAGAAACATTTCTAACATGTATATATCTCTGCCTCTTACTATAGATACAAAAAATCTATAGTGTGGATCTTACCATCATAGAGCTGAAAAATTAGAGGATGAAAGTCACATGTAAGAGTCCTTCCAGTTTAAAATAACCAGTCATGTAAATTCTCTTGAAATAACTTAAGGAGAGTTGCTTTGCATGCCACCTTCCAAAAGGGATCCCTGACAGCCCTATGAGCTATAGCTTCTTCAGTCACTATTGTAGAACACTGACCTGATTGTCAATCTTGAGCTCTGCCAGGGTTTCATTATCTCTTAAAGCATCCATCAGTGTGAGAATCCCCACTCCTGTAATAAAGTTGGACTCCATATTTAAGCTCTTCAACGTTTTGTTCACTTTCAGCATTTCTGCAAAAGCCTAGAAATTGCAAATATTCAGAGATTAAAATCTGGTAACAGCTATTACATATTGCACATGCCATAAATAAATGCATCAATTAACAAAACTACCTTAATGTTTCTCATTAGATTGTTTCAGCTTGACACACTAACCCATAGGTCTTACATGTACAGTTGCCTCATTATCCATGGCGGGGGTACTGGTTCCGGGATTACAGTGGATACCAAACTCTACAGATGCCTAAGTTCCTTATATAAAACAGTGCAGTACTTGCAAATAACCTACCTACACCTTCTCATATAATTAGATCATTTTTAGATTATTTATAATACCTAATACCATGTCTACACATCATTTCATTTGCGTGGAGTCAACACAGTACATAGCATGATGCAAATTCAAGTTTTGCTTTTTTGGAACTTTGTGAAATTTTCCAAATACATTATTATTATTATTATTATTATTATTATTAGAGTTGGAGTCTCACTCTGTCGGCCAGGCTGGAGTGCAGTGGCATACTCATAGCCATCACTGTCAACCTGCTGGGCTCTGGTGAGTCTTCCACTTCAGCCTTTCAAGTAACTGGAATTTCAGGCATGCGCCACCATGCCAGGCTAATTTTTTGATTTATTGTAGAAATGAGGTCTCGCCAAGTTGCCCAGGCTGGTCTCAAACCCCTGGGCTGAGGCAATCCTCTTGTCTCCACCTTCCAAAATGCTGGGATTACAGGTGTGAGCCACCACTCCCAGCTTCAAATACATATATTTCATCTGAAGTTGGCTGAATCCACACATGCTGGGGGTCAACTGTGTCTATTTTCCATTTGTACCCTGTCATAATCTTTAGATTTTGAGGTTACATGTAATTTGCTGTTGGTGACATTCTCTCCTCCTTGTACCCTATTTCATGCTTTCTCCTGTCTCTCTCCCAGGACTAACTCCATCAATGTCTCCAGGGAAAATCTTTTTTTACTTGAATTCTGCTGTAGCTGAGTCACTTTGAAGCCAAAATGAGAATAAATTATGGGATAATTTCCAAGGCAGGGACCAAAAAAAAAAGCCCGAGGCAAAAAGGCCAGAAAAAAAAATCATAGGTAACTAGAACCAGAAGAACACAAAAACTATGAAGATGAAGGTGCTAACGAAACATTAAATTTCACAAGGAATGGTATGTCTTCAAACTGCTTCCTTTACATTTCTCACAGGATATAGTACAGGGCTAGGCATTCAACTCTGTGCTTAAAAAAAACCATACTGATTAATTAACAGAAGCCTACCAGGCAATGGGGGCAGGGATACTAGGAAGAGTTGGGCTGATATCTATACACTTGTGCTTTCTATTAGCAACAACTAGCTAATAATGTGACCTGGTCAATTCCCTTTTCCATGTGTATGTACATTTATTGAAATATTACTGGATGGGCTTGGTGGCTCAGCTTGTAATCCCAGCACTTTGGGAGGCTGAGGCAAGTGGATTGCCTGAGCCCGTGGGTTCAAGACCCACCCGGGCAACTTGGTGAGACTTTGTCTCTACAATAAATAAAAAACTAGCCAGGCATTGTAGCACGTGCCTGTAGTTCCGGCTACTTGGAAGGCTGAGGCAGAAGGCTCGCTGGAGCCCAGCAGGTCGAGGCTGTAGTGGCCGGGAGCATGCCACTGCACTCCAGTCTGGGCAACAGAGTAAGACTCCAACTCAAAAAAAAAAAAGAAAAGAAATATTACTGATAGTCTATTATTTGATAAGTACTGGTCTAGAGATTCAGAAATAAAATACAGAAGTCCCTGCCTGAGAGAACTTACTTTTGGCAGCGGCGGTGTGTATGGGGGAGGGATGGCACAGATAATGAAACAAGTAAATAAGCAAAATATAATGTCAGATGGTAAAAAATAAAAAAGCAACATAGGATAGACGGCAAATACCAAGAGCAGGGGTGGCGTAACTATTTTATATAGGGTGGTCAGGAAAGGTCTCACCCAGAAGGTGGCATTTGAACAAAGGCTCAAAGTAATAAAGCAAAGCTATGTGGATTATTTTAGGAAGAAGGTAGTTCAAGTAGGAGACTAAGGCAATAATCCAAATGAGAGAAGATGGTGGCTTAGATCAGGGTGACAGTTGTCAAATGGTGAGAAGTGGCTGGATTCTAGAAATATTTTGAAGATAGAGCCAAACTGAGAAAGGGAAGTCAAGGATGATTTCCTTCCTCCCACCAAAGCAAATGAAAGAACAAAATTGCTTTTAATGAGTTATAAAAAGAACATGAGAGAAGCAGGTGTAGGATAGGAGCTGGGAGTTTGGTTAGGACATCCAAGTGTCTATTAGACATCAAAGTAAAGGTGTTGAGTAGGTAGCTGGACATGAGTAAGAAGTTTAGGAGAGAGGTACAAACTGGAGACATAACACTGGGAGCCATTAGCATATGCAGATAATATAGATATAACATTGGGAGTCATTAGCATATACAGATAATATATAGCAAGGAAACAGAATGAGATCACCCAGGAAGTGAATGTAGACAGAGAAAAGAAGGACCAAGTCCTTGGCCGTTCCAATGCTAAGAAGTTGGGGAAATGAAGAGAAACCAGTGTAGGGACTGAGAAGGAATATCCAGGGAGGTAAAAGGACAGTGATATCATAAGCCAAGAGAAGAAAAAGGGTCATATCATGAGATATAAATATCACCTTATTTATACACCACATAATAGACTAAAGGACAAGTCACATGATCATCTCAAGACACAGAACAAGCATTTAATAAACATCTAAATTATAGATTCATAAATGGAATCCTCTGCAGATGTTAAAAAAATGTAGTAGCTTTTTATGTGCTGACATGAAAAGATCTTTAAGATATACAATGAGTGGAAAAATAAGATTGCAGAATAGCATCTATTGCATGATTCCATTTATGTTTTAAAAAATTTATAGAAAAGAAATACAGGAAAAAACAAACATAAAAGAGTAATAAATAATATGCTGCCTAATTGTGAGTAAAAGAACCAGCTGTAAAAAGGAAATAAACCTTTCTCATAAACTCAGTTTAACCACTATTGTAATATACCCTGGCACGCAGGCATAATTTCAATATTGTCAATAGTGGCTTACTTACAACAGCAATGGGGTCATTGCTTCTGGTGGCTGCAAGACTGAAACATTTCACATGTGTGTTGGTCTCCAAAGCCTTCGCAAAATCTTTTAAGGTTGGAATTGGGATATTCTTGAAAGACAATAATGAGAAACATTTGAGTTTTCATTACATTTCAGTTACCATTAATCAAATATATCTATACTTACTTTCTTGCTTTAAAATGTACTCAGAAATTACACAAATACACAACAGTCTATAAATGAAAACAAACAGGGCAACTTCCTCCATATCTCTTTGCCATCTCTATTATGGAGCACTTGTACAAACTGTTGACTCAGAGCAGACATTTACCATCATTTCTCTGGCACTTACGCTGAAAAAACCGCCACTATTCTAATTCTTCTTTTTTTTTGAGTTGGGGGATCTCACTCTGTTGCCCAGGCTCGAGTGTATTGGCACAATCAAGACTCACCACAGCTTCAACCTCTTAGGCCCAAGTGATCCTCCCACTTTAGCCTACTGAGTACCTGGGACTACAGGTGCACACTATCAAGCCTGGCTTATTTTTTTGTAAAGATGAGGTCTGCTACCTTGCCCAGACTGGTCTTGAACTCCTGAGCTCAAGCAATTCCCCTGCCTCAGCCTCCCAAAGTGCTGGGATTACAGGTGTAAGCCACCATGCCTGGCCTAGTTATTATCTGAAGCTAACCCCAGATAATTAAAAAAGATCTACTTTTCTACAAGGAGAGAGTTGTAGGAGTCTACTTCTAATGAGTATGATCCCTGAGGCAGATGGCATACTGTTCTCACTTAGTTTAAGTTACAAGGTACTAAGAGAGATTAACCCTACATTACTTGAAGGAGGAAAAACATAGTGAAGGTACTGATTTCTCCTGTTAGTATCCAAGACTTCAATTCCCTATAGCCTTGTTATTTCCAGATCACTATTTATTTAGAGACAGAGATACACAGGGACCAAATATTTAAACATTATTTTAATTTTTTTTAGAAACAGGGTTTTACTCTGCTACCCAGGCTGGAATGCAGTGGCACAATCAGAGCTTACCGCAACCTTGAACTCCTGGGCTTAAGTGATCTTCCTACTTCAGTAGCTGCCTCCAAGTAGCTGAAGCACCTAGGACTACAAGCATGCACCACTACATCTGGCCAATTTTTTTTTTTGGTAGAGATAGGGTCTCATTATGTTGTGCAGACTAGTCTCAGACTGTTGGCCTCAGTGATCCTCCTGCCTCAGCCTCCCAAAGTGCTAGGATTATAAGACCCAGCTCCACATTTCCTAGGCAATAAAAGATTAGTGACCAATTAAGGATATAAGCTTTGTCTAATACTTTCTTTTCTACACTCAGGAAGAATCACCCACTAAAAGAGCATAGATGTCTTCTTCCCTAGTTTCATATAATTTGTAGATGCTCTCCTCACTTATCCTCCAATTCAGAAAAATCAATATTTAAAATAAGGAATTTGTAATGAAGCTATTATATGATGGTAAACACCCAAAAGGTAATCTGAGTTTACTCCTTGGTGATTAATTACCCCTATGCTTTTCTAACTCATTTCTTCTTTCTCTACTCCAAGGAAGAGTTGCATTGTTTAAAACTCAGTAAGATTCCAGAAAGCCTATTACTGAGTGTTTACTTAAAAAGAGAATTGAAAATATATGTTCACATAAACACCTGTACATGAAAGTGTGTAGTGGCTCTATTCATAATCATCCCAAACTGGCAAGGATCCGTATGTCTATCAACTGATGAATAAATAAGCAAACTGTAGCATATCCATACAATGAAATACTACTATACAACAAAAAAGAACAAACTGCAGATACACATGACAACATGGGCGAATCTCAAATATACCATGCTACATGAAAGAAGCCAGACTCAGAAGCCTATATATTAACTATATGATTCTATTTATATGATATTTTAGTGAAGGCAAAATGTTAAGGAAAGAAAAGAGATCAGTGATTATCAGTGGGTACAACCAGGATGGGGACAGAGAATGACTACAAAGGGGTAAGAGAGAACTTCTAGAATGATAGACATGTTCTACATCTTGACTGTGATGGTGATTGTACAACTATATACATTTGTCAAAGCTCATATAACTGTACACTAAAATAAAGAATTTTACTATATTTAATTTCTACTTTAGGCCGGGCATGGTGGTTTACACCTGTAATCTCAGCACTTTGGGAGGCTGAGGTGGGAGGATCACTTGAGCCCAGATGTTTGAGACCAGCTTAGGCAATATGATGAGACCTTATCTCTACAAAAAATTAAAAAATGAGTTGGATGTGGTGGTGCAGGCCTATAGTCCAGCTACCTGGGTGGCTGAGGTAGAAGGATCGCCTGAGTCCAAGTGGAGGCTGTGGTGAGCCATGACTGTGCCACTGCACCCCAGCCTGAGTGAGAGAGTGAGACCCCAATTTAAAATAAATAAGTAAGCCAGGCTCGGTGGCTCAGCCTATAATCCTGCGCCTTTGGGAGGCTGAGGTGAGTGGATTGCCTGAGCCCGTGGGTTCGAGAACCGCCTGGGCAACTTGGCGAGACTCATCTCTACAATAAATCAAAAATTAGCCGGGTGTGGTAGCGCGCGGCTGTAGTTCCGGCTACTTGGAAGGCTGAGGCGGAAGGATCGCCGGAACCCAGCAGGTCGAGGCTGTGGTGGCCGGGAGCAGCCACTGCACTCCAGTCTGGGCAACAGAGTGAGACTCCAACTCAAAAAAAAAAAAAAAAAAAAAAAAAATGGCCAGGGGGGTCACCTGTATCCCGTGCTTAAAATAAAATAAAATAAAATAAAGAAGTAAAACCAATTGACTAAATAAATAAGTAAACACGACCTCAAGAAGCCTTATTTTTTTTTCTTTGAGTAGGCGTCTCATTCTGTCGCCAGGCTGGAGTGCAGTGGCACACTCACAACTACCGCAGCCTCGACCTGCTGGGTTCAGGCAATCCTTCTGTCTCAGTCTTCCAAGTAGCAGGAACTACAGGCATGTGCCACCATGCCCAGTTAATTTTTTGATTTATTGTAGAGATGAGGTATTGTAGAGTCTCACCTTGGACTCCCAAAGTGCTGGGATTACAGGCTTGAGCCACCGCGCCCAGCAAGAAGCCTGATTTTAAAAAGCAAAACCCAAAAGGCTAAATGTCTTAGAAGTGGGCAATATGTTGAAAACCAGGAAGAGTTACTATGAGAGTCTGTACAATTTTCATTTTTATATGATAAATTATTTAAAAAGCAAGTTAGAAAGCACTGCAATATAATACTATAATATGAATAAACCTGTTAGCATACTGCTAGGAGCAAAAACTTTAAGTAGAAAGAATTCGACTACTATATCAAAACCACCCAGCTCTCATCCTAGGTACAATCACTCAAAGCAATACACAACAGCTTTGTTTGCCTAGTACACTTGCCTTTATATTATTCAAATTAACTTCAACAAGACGAGCATCATTTTCTTTAATTCTCTTTAAACTCTCTTCAACGTTGGTTGGATTCGGTGGCTCATCAAACACTGGAAGAATTTTTTCCCCTTTTACAACATCTGTGTAACAAATGAAATGAGTAAGAGTCTCACTGGTTGATACTATTATAGCAGCTGTATGTATTAATTTGGTAACACAGCTCTTTCTCTCACTCTCTCCCAAACACGCACAGTTATTCAACAGAATGGACTAAGAAGTTCCTTCCCCACAATTCCTAAAAGATCCTTTATGTGTTGACACATATTTAAAGCATGATTTTATAGAATATACAATTTTATAGGATATATAAATCAAACATATTCAACACTGTCTGCCACATATCAGCCTTCAAAAGTGAATATTTTCTTTCTTTTTTTTGAGTTGGAGTCTCACTCTGTCACCCATGCTGGAATGCATTGGCACACTCAGTGCCACCACAGCCACAACCTGCTGGACTCAGGCGATTCTTCCATCTCAGCCTTCCAAGTTGCTGGAACTATAGGCACGTGCCACCATGCCCAGCTAAGTTTTTGATTTACTGTAGAGATGAGGTCGCACCAAGCTACCCAGGTTGGTCTTGAACCCATGGGCTCAGGCAATACTCTCACCTCGGTCTCCCAAAGAGCTGGGATTAAAGGCATTAGCCACCGCGCCTGACCAAAAGTAAGTATTTGCAATGACTTATAAAATATTTTATATCTTTAACATTCAAGTATATTTGATAGTACAAGATGATGAGCCCATTATTTCCGGTAATATGCAACATAAAATTCTAGCATGATAAAAGCCTGTACTTATCATTTTCTCTGAGATGGGACTGATGATTGGTATAAAGGCAAAAAGAAATCACAGACTTAAAGAAATGCAGCTTCAGTGAGAATCAGGTGACAGGAGGGCACGTTACCTCTTCCTCCCACCAAGAGTACTCTGCAAGAGAAAAGGGAAGAACTCTCTCCTAGGAAGAAGGAATAGGATGAAGGGTAGGGAGTGGGGATGGAGAGAGGTAAAGGCTCACAGAAGAGCTACAGCGACAGAAGTGCCAACATTTACTGCCCTCCTTCACTTTCATTCTGCAGTCTTCACCTTATAGGCCCACACATGACCAGAATACAACAGTTCAAAGCTGAAAGACAGAGGACTCAGAATCCTTGTACCTTTAATGAGATATCATTGTGCCCTGATGCATATGTGTGGAAGTCTATGAACACCTATAAGTAGACAAACTTAAATGGATACATTTTCTGGGGAGAACATCTGTGGCATCAGATTCCCCAAAAGGTGAATGACTGCAAAAATGTAAAAACAACTGTCATAGGAAGACCAACCAGGCTCAAAAAAGATCACTATTTGACTTGGTTCTTGCCTCTCATCCTCTAGATTTTAGGAGCAAAACTTGTCTTGAGACAAGGGAGTCATCTAATGAATTCCACCTGAGAGTACCTTATTTTCAAATATGCTGCACACACACATATACAAACACACACACCACTCTGAGGAGATCAACTCAGATGAAGGTTTGAAAATTACTTCCCTGAGGAAAGTTGAAAGATCTAAATTATTTAGCCTGAAGTACATTTAAAGGAAGTGCACCGGTTGTTTTCAGGTTTATCCTATAGAAGGGACAGAGACAAATTTCATGTTGTTCTGACAGGCTGTGTTAGATTTGGTTCAATGCAAGGAAAAGCTTTCCAACAAGAAAGAGTGGGACTCCTTCTCACTGAAGTTCAATCCCTCTTCTTCAGGATTGCAAATAAAGAGAGATAGAGAAAAGCTTCCTCACTGAATGGAAAGCTGAATGAGTTCTAAATTTTATAGAACTAAAAGACTTATTTCTTTTTTAAAAATTAATGTGTTGATTTTAAATACAACCAATTATTTTAAAGATATGACAACTTATCTTAGATCACAAAGAAAAGCATAAAAACAAAGAAAAAAGGGGAAATTTTTTTCATTTTAACTCTATCCCCATGCCACATTTTGACTTTTAGTTGTCTCAATTTACATATTTTTATATTGTCCGTCTCTTAACAGGTTGCTTTATTATTTTTTAATTTTTACTTTAAAGATAGGTACAATTCAGGGTTGGGTACACAAATGGTCATTGTACAGGTAAAGTTTGGGTCTTGCTTTTGCTCCCCACTTCACCTGGTTTGAGATCACCCTTATCGATGAAGTGTGCCTATCCCCCTTCCCCCAACAGCAGTTTACCACTACTGCCAATCCCGTTCTTTTTTATTTTGAGTCAGGGTCTCACTCTGTTGTTCAGGCTGGAGAGCAGTGGCACGGCCACTGCAGCCTCGACCTGCTGGGCTCTGGTGATCCTTCCACCTCAGCCCTCCAAGTAGCTGGAACTACAGGCACGTGCCACTATGCCCAGGTAGCTTTTTGATTTATTGGAGAGATGAGGTCTCACCAAGCTACCCAGGCTGGTCTTGAACCCATGGACTCAGGCAATACTCTCACCTTGGCCTCCCAAGTAGCTAGATTACAGGCTAGAGCCACAGCGTCTGGCCCAATCCCTTTTTTACAGTATTATGATAATTGTTCAGAGTCTGCTTATAAGTGAGAACATGTGGTACTCAGTTCAAACGATTTATTTCCCCACTCCACAGACTATGTGTATTTACATTTAAAGAGCCTTGCTCCTAATGAAATAACGGACCCAGTCAGTGGGATGCTGAAGTCATTAGACAAAAGGTTCATGGGGAACTTTAAAAGGATGGATCAGACTACCAGTGTATGAACTCACTTATCAGTCTTAACACACCTCCAAAGAGGAACCTTATCATGTCTTAACACCCCAGACCTGATAAGCTTCCTAATGTGATCCAATCACCACACATAAAGCACTCTTACTAAAAAAGACCTAACTTAGCCGGGCTTGGTGGCTCAGCCTATAATCCCGTGCCTTTGGGAGGCTGAGGTGAGTGGATTGCCTGAACCCGCGGGTTCGAGACCCGCCTGGGCAGCAAGACCTCATCTCTACA